GATTTCAGTGACAAAGGGCTCAATTATATCGTATAAAGGTTCCTTCCTTCTTGCTTTACCTTAGAAAATGCCAGAAGATCAAGGTTGATCTGTTACGATTTTGCTTGGAGGCTCCCAAGCAAGAGTTAAAACTTTAACAAAAGCTTCCTGCATTAAAAATGTTCATTAGTCATTCAAGTTAAAACAGATATCATTAAAAAAAACAACAAATTTAACTAGAACTCCCTTCCTCTCTTGCTTTCTTATCAAATGTCATCAGTGGGTACCGCTCAGATCCTGAGTGGGCCTTGCAGTCCAGGGTGAGCTTCATTTTTTTTGGCGCCTCCTTCCCCCCCAAAAGTTAAAAAGGCAAAACCGACAGTGAATGTGTTAGAAAGAAAATAAACATCAAACAGATCTTTGAGTATCTTTCTTCCACCTTTGAACAAGAAATAAATACGATATGGCAAAGCAAGCTTATGCTGTAAGCCTCTCCCAGGTAGTGCCTGAGATGCCCTCGTTCAGTTTTGCTGCCCTTCTTTGTTATATTGAAATGTGAGGGATTTCTAAATCCTGATTTGGATGCATCCCCCAGCAGCAGAGAGAAAACGACAATTACTGAAGCAAGGCAAGTTGTTTTCAGTTTAGCAGTTTTTTTCTAAGCCAGGCTTGTGGTTTCATTTAAAGTTTGAATGCTTCCATTCTCTGAGAAGCCCAGTGGCTTTTCAATAGCAGAAGATCAAATGATGTTAATCGGGCAGTGTGACCTAATCCTCTAATTCAGCTGCCTTTTTACATTAGAAATGTTCTGCTCATGTAAGATTGATTCGCTCTTAAATTGACTTTTTTGTTGTTGTTGTTGTTAAATGCACTATTTTAAAGTTCTACTCCTGGCTCCACGGATCAGGTACACAAATAAGGGAAGAGCGATTTTTCTTCATTCTGTAGGTTTAGATAGGCAAATCCTAAGGGTTCTGATAGAAAATCTCTTGTTAATCACAGAAAGCCCAAGATGTTTTGCAACAGCAGCAAGAAGAACATTTTTCTTCGTGGTAGTGATCCCACAGGTTACCTACACTTAATGGGGCTACCCTGGTCAGCTATTGCCGACTATAGGAAGGCTACCATAAGTGTAATTTCTCCTCAGCTTTCAGATATACCTTCCATTGACGTTTGCATGTGTTTCACCAAAGACTGAAACAATCTCCTCATTTCCTTTTTGTTCCCTCACCTCTGATGTGGTGGCTCTGGTGCACTGCCTCATGTGACGGGGCTGCTGCACCACCGCTGGGAAAGGGCAGCTGGAGCAGCGCTCCTCTGCGACGTCCCACTTCCCTCCATGCTGTGCATCTGCGGGTAGATCACCTGACGTGCAGGACCGCAGGGAAGAAAACAGCCTGCTGGGTTGCTCCACAGACGACTGATAGCTTATGGACTGAGGTTGCCTCATGCTGCCATGTGGACGGGGGCAGCTGTGTGACCCCCCCCCCAAACACAGCCTGTCGGACTTGGCAGGTTTTCTGGCACTGTAACACCAGAAGAGCTCCTGAGCTCTACAAGTACCGACAGATAGACCATCAGCACTGGTTGTGTCTACCGACCTTCACAGCAGCATCCCCTAACGAAGGCCACATGAGGGGAGCCTAGCCAGTTTATAGGCCATGTGCATTTAACTGTATTAATCAGTTCCCATGCGCTCAGTTGGAACTAAAACTCTGCAAAGCCTGGC